GATGTACCAGTATACTTTATTTTTAAACGTAATTAACACTTTTTATATAGCATTGTTCCACACGCAATGCTGCACACAACATAGAAAAAAAGAAAATAAGTCGTCGTATACATGTGTATACTTACCTAACCTACCCTTCATTGCGAGCCAGGTAAGGTCAAGATTCAAGGAAAAAACGGGTGCGAAATCTTATTTATTTCAAACAAATAAACGTGACGTAACTGCATTTTTGGCTTCATGAAGATTAAAATCTGGGCATGGAATGGTCAGTGTCGACTGCCAAATTAGTGGCCACTACCAGACACTGGACACGAAGCATATATCCCATATCCTCGGCGTCTCTGATGGGCAAAGCATACCGACCCATTCCACAACCCCTGCATTTGTTTGTTTGTTTCCATTTGTCTTGTTCTATTTCATGTTTATAAATAGTCAGGTACTCCATGCCCATAAGGCCATAACTAAAACTTCATGCAATCAGTTGCACTCTTAAGGGCGAGACTATCATAATTTATAAGGCGTTGGTTATCCCGTCCATTCGGTTGCCTGCCAAGCGCTGTCTGTGTGTGTGGCGGCCTTAATGTCGCCGTCTTTATTTCCTTCAAAGAAATCCCTCGTCAGACAACAAACAAATTGGCTGTGTCTGGGCATTACTACAAGTGTTCCATAAGCATGCATAATCTGGTGCTCGGTAGAGACTAGATAGAGACATGAGAGAGGAGAAAAGGAGGCACTTTTCAGTTTGCTGTGATGTGCATTTCCCCCCAACTTTTGACGATGCATGACTTCCCTGCCTGCCTGTTCGTTCACATTTGAAATTTGGATGCGGCAGCAGTTTCCCTTCTCTGCACATTTTCTGAAACTCACTCATGGGGTTTTCAGGGTTTGGCCTAACAGCACGTTGTGTTTAATGTGAAGTACAAGATCGACCCAAATGTCCAACGCTGCATTCTGCAGAGTCCAACTCCAACGGAAGGACAGTGTGCTCATGACAGCAATTTCTCTGCGATTACCTAACTGACGACCATACTGCTTCAGGGTTATTGTGCAGGCCCCGTCCGGCCTGTCTGCCTGCCATGGCTTTGTGATGTGCCTGTGCCTGACCCCATGCTTCTCAAACGGAGATACCCTTTTCGCAGCGTTGTCCAAATCCTAGCTAGCAGAGTAGCAGGTACCATGGACAAAGGAGCCAAATGGCCCAAATGGATCATAACACCACATGTCCGTCCTTTCAGAATGGAAATCATATCACAGCACGACGCATGAACTGCGGCCAAAAGAGGAGCTGCTGCTGGTACACCGAATGATGAAAGGCCTGGGTACTGCTGGACTTTCAGAAGTACACAAACAGCGCCGGTCGATGCTGGCTGCAATGCAACTATGCAAGCTGGGAAGAGGCCATCAAGATTCGTGCTCAGAATGGATCAAATATGCTTCTCTTTCTTTCCTTTTTTTAATATTTTGCAGATAAAGATGCTGTTTTGTCTTGACAGGAGTACAGGATTGCTGGCCTAGGCATGGTCGGCCGGCCAATCAGCGGTTTCAGCATGCAGTCTGGTGCACTGAACTGACTTACTACTAGTTAGTCTTTATTAAAAGGCCGTAGCAACCTAACCGAATTGTTCCGGTGCTCTGAACCGGGAAGAAAGAACAGAGCAATGCAGTTAGTTGCATGGGAAAAGAAAATAGAGAATCATCTGATGACCTATCCGGATCCGGTCTTGTCTTGTATATATGCTGCCTATATTACCTATGTATAAAAAACAAGCTTGCTATGCTCATGAAGAAAATCCATCTTGCTTGCACGCATGAAACGCTGAAACGGTGTGGTTACGACGTACGTTGCCCTTAGCCCTTTAGCAAGTGGATGCATGGGTGTACATGACATGAATCCTGCCGACGCACAAGCTAATAACTGGTGCTTTACATGATCCTCTTTTTACTGTGTAGCTAATAACATGCGTGCTTCCAAGGGTGAAACCATGACGGAATGTATATGTAAAAAAAAAGATCTATGAAAATACAACATTTTTGTTGTATCTTATCCGGTGAAATTCTCTCCACCTGCCTTTGAATTCAGTGAACGTGTGATAAGAAAAAATAAACCCAAGTGTTTTAGAGGAGTTCCACAAGATAAAATGTGTTGTGAAAATTGGGGTGAAATATTCCCTCCCCACACTCAGATTTTCAGTTACATCAATTTTACATATAAATTAAATCAAAGCAATCACCGTAACTCCCAGCATAAGTTGACTAGAACTAAAATTGTAGTGTGCAAAACAATTTCATTTCCATGCATACCATTTAAACCAACTCCAAGAGTATATCCTTCCATCTTAATATTAATAGAGATTTTGGTGAAAAAAAACTTCCAACATCTTCTTCATTTAGATCTCTAAATATTATCATTCTTAGTTTCATGTTTCTCACTAGCCGAAGATGAGTGAGGGTGACTCTCTAGAGTACACAAAAATACAGAGAAACTATTGGAGGATGAAAAAATAGAGTATTTTATTCAAATAGCTCTTCAAACGAGCATTCGATCATAGAGTGAATTTTAAAAAGAGTATAAGTAGAAAGAAGAGTGCTTGTATTTCGGATTGTCTACAACCGTGCCGCCTAGGTGAAAATTTTCACCATCAGCACTCCAATATTCTGGTAGTGAAGAGGACAGAGCTTGCGCTTGCACTGCACTTTTGTCCCGATGCCAACTTTTCCTGGCGCAAATGGCGTGAAGGTCAACTTTGCTTGATCTAGCCTACAAGCGATAAATAACGTGCACTGGTAATATTTTTTTAAACCAAAAGCGAAAAATATAAAGCGACGGCACGGCCCGCACGCACGGCACTTCCGAGCGATTTCCTCGTCATTTCTCTCGAGGCTTTTAGCCATTCTAAAAGATGGTCCAGGCATACGTGCCATTAAAAAAGTTCAAACACACTTTGATATCATAACGCTAAACTCTTTTGACCTACACGTCATTCCGTCTACCTTCCGTCTGGTTTCTACTGTTTGGCAGCCCTAACATATGGGCTCAGCCGATCACAATGTCCAAAATACCCTTCTCTCATAACCTTATCCTCTCACTTCTTTCTCTATGTGCCGGTGGGGCTAAGCTGTAAGTGACTCGGGCACCTTCTTCCTCCTCAAGAACGCGGCCGGGGAGAGCTCGTCATACCTTTGTCGCGAGCTTGCCGGCGCGAGGGCGCTCCGCCCATGCCCGTCGCCTATACACACCGGCGCGGCCGTGGCGGAGCTTCGCCCACGCGTATGAGCGGGGGGGGTGGGGCGGGCCAGTCGTGGTGGCGCCCACGCTGCTGGTGTCGAGGATGGCACGTCGTCGTCTTGCTAAGATACCAGGCGCAACAAAGCGCCTGCGAAACAATTCTAAGCGGTTAAATAAAACGATCTGAGAGCTCCACGCTAGTAAGCATAAGCACGCTCACTAGGCCGTAACAAGGCAACAAATGCCTAATTAGAGGCGGGCGCTAACAAGGTTACTAAAACCAAATTAGTCACGCATGAGTCCATGGAGGAACATAAGCGGAGCAACTAATTATGGCTCAAGTTGAGCTTGGACGCCGCGTTGACACGCCGCACGCGCCCCCTGTATCGACCGCTCATTTGCTCTCCTCATCACCGCCAACCGCTCAAGCTCCAACCCCGAGCTCATGCCTACTTTACTACTCCGGCTCACCTGCCCCTCACAAAGCACTTCTCCGCTCGTTCTTTCGGCTTCACGAAACCCCAAGCCGCCTGGCGTGGTGGCCGACCGCACCACCACTCCGAGGATGGAGCGCGCGTGTCAAGAGGGACGCCGGCGAGGAGGGCGTCGCCACGCTCGCCGGGGGCGAGCCGCGCCAGCCCTCGCCTCGTCCACTTCTATTTATAGCCCGAACTATACCGCCGCCGGGATCCTTTGCCGGTGATGACCACCCATTCGACGAAACGACGCCGCGCCGCCCTTGCGACGCTCGAGTCGAACGACCACGTTTCGCTCCCCACTTCGCCCATCGCTCCGGTCATTCTTGACCGAGACACTTTCGCGCACTCAACCGAGACACGGCCCTTGACGGGGACGGCGTGGCAATAGACGGCCAACCATGCGCCGCCGGTCCCTCGGGCGCCGTCCAAACAAAAGCGCCGCTTCTCCACCCTTGCTCGCCGCACCAAGTTATCTCCTCTGTCGCTCTCTCCTCCGTGACGCCCACGCCACGACGCTATGCAAACAAGTTTGAGGAGATCATGAACCGCGGCATCTTCCGCCGAGCACCTCGTGCGGACCGGTGGCGAGGCTTCACATTTCATTCCATCTCCTCAGGCGCCAGGCGCTGCCCAACGCCCACGCATCATGTGAGGTTCTCGATCTTGACTTGCACTCCATCGAGGCGCCAAGTCTTGCTCGCGCTTCCGCCGCGGCGCTTATCCTTCACGCCAGCGCATATCAGAAGTCGCTTGATCTTCTCCACCTTGATCACATGACTCAATGTCATGTCTCATGTACAATAAGCTCCTTCATCATCACATGTGTGAGCTTTGCAACATCTCCAAGCGCATATGTTGCTCACACACACATGTACTTGTGGACTAATTACACCGTGTATCTCATCTAAACACAATTAGTCCACCTAGGTTGTCGGGCGCGGCGAAGGCCAGTCGTCCGGCGGGTCGCCAACGCCGACGCTTAGCGTGACGCCAGCTTCAAGTCGCTCTCCTCTCGTGGCGTCCACGCCACGGCGCTTGAGAGATCATTTCCACGCCTTGAGCACCTCGTGCGCCGGCGGGCGAGGTCTCAATACTAGGAGGCGCCGGCCGCCGCCTGTCGCGTGAGGTCTCCGCATGCAGCTGCGTGCCCGCGCGCGTCCTCGACGCTCGTGTGGCCTCGTCCACCCATGTTGCATGACTCATCCATTCGCAGGCCTGTTGGTGTGGCGAACAGAGGCCGTCCGGAGCATGGCGGCTGTCAACAAGCGTTGCGGCGTTCCGCTCGGTCTTCGGCGATGCCGTCTTTGGGGAGGCTGGTGCTCTGGCGCGTGACAATGGCGGGTGTGGGCGAGAATGGTGAACTCGGCTATATCTCGAGTTGTGAGCGCGGGGTGGAGGAGCAGGAGGCGGGCTTGGTGGCGACCTCGGCTTGACCTGCAAGGGTGTTAAGTGGTGGGACGGTGGCTGCAGCGCTGCTCCGCGTCTGAGTCAATGGCACTAGGCATTAGCATCGTCTCTGCAGGCCGCTGCCCTCAAAATCACGAGCACCAACCGGTGCGCGTGGCTCCCAGGGTGGGTGCTCAGCCATCCTTTGCCGCCAGCACGGCCTCCACTTGTCGGAAATCGGCCGCGCTAGGCCCATGGTGCGGACGGGAGCTTCTGGAGTTAGGATAATGGCTTCGTTGTTTTTTTTTTTTTCTCTTGACAAGTTGATTTTTTATTTTATTGGGCCCACGTTGTCCTGTGCTATCGTCTCCGATGCTCTCTCTCTTCTACACTCACGTGTGTTTAGGTAAGGGTATTTTACACTTCTTCTATCCCAGTTAGATAGCGTTAGAGCTCAAAGTGAATGGAATAACGTGGATAACAAGAAAATTTAGCATCATAGTACCTATAGTACTAGGTACTTTCGAATTTTTCAGTGACACGTAAACCTGTATCTTTTATAATGGCACGTTGCTAAAAGACTCATTTCTCTCATCCGCTCCCTCTCCCACTCGGACAAGGGGGGGAAAAGCTCGAAAGCGCAAGCCGGCGAGCGAGATGGGCGCCGGGAGCAGCCGCGCGGACGCGCCGTCGCGCCGCCGGGCGCGCCTCAGCCTCGGCGGGTGCTTTGGGGCCGGATCCTCTTCTTCAGCCGCCGCCGCCGCCGCCGCCGCGCGCACGACGGCGGGAGCTTCGCCGCGGCCGGGCCTTCCTCCTCGCGCGCCATCGAGGTACTAGTCCCGGTACCCGCGCCGCGTCGTCGTCTGGCGTCCCGGGATGCCGTTGAGCGCCGGTAGCTCCGGCACCGCTGGGGTCCTGGCCTCGGTCTCGGATTAGTCTCTGATGAGGTGCGGATTTGCCGCGTCGAATCGATGGTTCTGACTTCTGAGTTTCAGACGCCCTCCGCCCCTAGGTGGCTAGGTTGTGAGATTGGAGAGCGTGGTTTTGTGTAGCTGTATGGACGGCGAAGCAGAAACTTGACTTAGCTTTTGGAGCTTTGAGCTGGTAGTATTGCTCTTGTTCGATTATATGATTAGTCTGGAGCAGTTAGCTAATGCTTCGAAACTTTTGCGGTCCTACAACCTTCATTTCGTATATCTGCGACCTGCAAAGCATGAATTATTGCATCTGGTCTTATCATGCGCCCTTCCATAATGCACATGAATAAAGAGCAGATGGCTCCCAAAGTTAATCTGTGCGCATTAAAGGGGCTGGGCCTCCAAATGACAAACTAAAGCAATTTTGTGGAATCTGAAACATTATGTGTTTTTCCAAGTGTTTTCTGTTAGTGATAACTTTCGTCCCCATGTATTGTTTCTATGCTGGTATCTGATGTCAGGAATGTATTGTCTACAGGTACAATCAGGGCGACCAGTGAGTGCCCTGAATTTTCAGGCTTCTCTAGCTGCTAAGGATCTCCAGATTTCCAGTGAGTTAAATCCAAGGCTGCATTCCTCTTCAAGCACCATAAGCCGTCATCTCAGATTCAATCATCTCAATTGTCATGAGAACAAGGAAGATGGCCTGGGGACTGAAAACGCTGAAACAAGTGGCCTTGAAAGCTCATCTAGGAAAGCTGTCATGGTTAGGGGAAGTCTCAGTAATGAAGCTGTTAGTAGCGATGTATCAGGAGAAGGAATAAGTTTTATAGGATCAGAGCTGGAAAATGTTCCTAGCACAGTCTCCACTAATGAAATTGGTGGCTCAACTTCTGAATCTGGTTTGGGCCCCTCGTTGATGACATCTGAAAGGATCATGTCTGACTTAGAAGGAGAGATATCTCCGCAAGGGACCTCATCCACAACTGTCATGACAAGTGAAAGATCAGATGTATCTCAATCTAGCTTAACATCTATGTTTCCTAACTCTTCAACTGCATCATCTGCGACTGTGGAACCAATGCCAGATCCGATCCCTACCAGAGCAAATGTCCCCATATTCAGTGGGCCACATGGTGAGACTGGAGGGAGTATATTACATGATGACATGATGAGCATTTTCTCAAATGATGGTCTAGGACGCTCTAGAGATTCTAGCAGCAGTGAAACAAGGAGGAGTCACAGAAGGATTCTATGGGATGCATTTTCGAGGCGCGGCTCAAGAGGTTATCCAGAATCTGATGCTGATGACCTCGGATTTTACAGTACATGGCTAGACCTTGGTGATGACATTTTTGAAGAGTTGGGGGAATCAAGATATTTTCATCGCAGGCGACATGGTTCAATCAGAGTAAGCCAGTATTCAAGATCCCGGGTAATTGTTATGCCTGCTTTGTCGTATATTTTTCCTGTTATGGATTTTGCTGATCCATCTCATGGCCACACCACACCTTACTCTTCTTTGTTACAGATTAGGGAGCATCGCCGTGCTGCTTTTGATAGTGGTAGTGAACAAAGCACTGCGGCATGTCCTTTGGGGATTCATCCAATTGGCCGATGCACCTGTGATTCTTTCTTGATTGCTGAAGAATCTAATGCCCGGGCAAGTATATCAAGAATTGTCATGTTAACTGAGGCGTTATTTGAGGTATCCTTTCCTTCGTGTTCATTTGATTATCATCAGCATTAACATTCTATATGATGATGACATAATAAGTGGCACAACAGAGAATACAGGGGCAGAATATTATTACTAGTTACTACTCTAGCTATGTAATAATGGCCTACACAATTCTTTTCAGGTGTTGGATGAAATTCACCGTCAACCTGCATCACTTTCACTTTCCATGGTCTCTGTTCAGGCTCCTGAATCTGTGGTTAATTCGTTGCCATGTAAGAGCTACAAAAAGCTTGAGACACCCCAATGCAGTGATGATATGGAACAGTGAGCTTCTCATCACTCTAATCTCTCTCTAAATTTTCTAAGACATAAGTTTTGTATAATAAGTTTTGCTTGCAAAAGAAAACAGATCCATATCGCGCTGACTGATAAGTTTTTCATCATATGTTCTTTAGTATAATTATGGGAGTTGCTTGGAAAGGAAAACATATCCCTATCGCCTTAATGGGCATCAGTTTATCCTTCCACATTTGTGATGAGTTAGACATCTAATGTTGTTTTTTTACTGTGATGATGTATTGTACGTATACCCTAAGACCTTCGGGCTATAAAATAGCCTTTCAAAGTTAAGATAATTTGTTGTATTTTTTGGTGTCACAACAACTGCGATAACCTTGCAGTGAAATAGATGCCTGCTGGCTCGTCCCTTTTTTGTTTTGTTTTGTTTCTCTCCCTTTACCCCCCCTGTCATTCCTTTGGGGGTCTGATGCTGAACCTAACATATCATTGTTTTTGCTCATCAGGTGCCATATCTGCCTAACTGAATATGAGAATGGAGACCAGATAAGAACTCTTCCTTGCAAGCACGAGTTCCACCTGCAATGTGTTGACAAATGGCTGAAAGAAATACACAGGTATCCATCCTGGTTTGTTTACTTCTGCTATGCATTTGAATACTGTCGGCATCCCCTCCTCACAACGTTCCTGTCGTCACACTGCTACAGGGTATGCCCTCTGTGCCGTGGAGACGTCTGCGAAGTCGCCTCGTGAAGACCTTGGGCGCTGGCATCCCTCCTTGCGGCACCCACGGATAGATCATCATCCCCCGCTGCTCCGTGGTTCGGCCAGGCAACGGCGACACTGTCAAGACACCGCAAGAGCATGTCAGCTTTGATTGTCTCCCTGCCGAAGAGAATGGCCAAATCCTGCGACTGATGCGTCGTTGTAGCTTTTGTAGCTTTCAAGAACACCAACTTTTAAGATACCAAAGAGAACGGCCAAATAGCTGAAATACACGTTTCTTTTCATGCTGCGAATTGCTGAACTGTCTGATTTTTTAAATTTTATGTAAAACATAGTCTAAATAAATAAAGAGTAACTGAAGGAAAAAATTTAATACACTCCTGCGCTGCGCTAGAGGCGTAGACCAGCGCACCCACCAAGTGCAACCTGGGCCGTCATGATCGCCCGTGGACCCCATCCAGGTAAGTAATGAGCAACGGTGCCCCTGGGCCGCATTATATAGCGGTCTCGCCCCCTCGCGCCTGCCTGCGGCGCCGAGGTGGGACTAATGCCCGCGCGCCTCTGGTGCTCGGGGTCCTGACTCCTGAGACAGAAGGAGAAGCCGCAGCGACGCTCTGCCGTTAGATCCTGCCCGGACGGTTGAGGGGCTTCACGCGGCAGCACTGACCGGGACACCCGAGCGCAGTTAGACTGGGCCGACGAGAGAGAGCGCTAGATGGGCCAAGCCTGGTTGTTGGCCTTTCTAGCGGGAATTCTAACGCCGATGTGAAGTTGGCTTCTTATCCGGGCCGATTTCGTCGCACTCGAAATTTGCCACGGCCGCACTTTGTTCCATGACATCTCAAACTCTCCTTTTCTTTTTCTTTTTCTCTTTTTGGAAAGAAGAAACCAAATTCTCAACGTGAACGTGCCCAGCTTGTGCGTTGATGTGGATGAAAATACGGCAGGCGCAACAAAATTTTGTACGACACGTGCAGCAGGCCCAAAAGATGGTTTGTTCCTTCGGAGAGTGAGGAGGCGTGATCTGCCGGTGCTGCTTGCTTAATCAGCTGTATTTTAGCAGAGGTGGATTGCACCATCCCGCGTCACATCGATCAGTGATTACCGTGGCATCATCCTGGCTGTCAACTCACGCAGGCAATCAAAAAAAGAAATCCTGCTCGCCATATCCTAAGTCCTAACACAGACGACGGTAGATCTTATTGCCCCCACTCAGTGGTAGCCAGGCCTGGAGGAGAGCTAGTGGAAAATGAAGGATTTTGAGTGTGTCAACCGTGGAAACGAAACAATCACACCCTATATCCGTCTCAGGTGGTGGCTCGAGATCGAGAGGAGAGCGTCGTGTCGTACATTTGAAACACTTTAAACATGCTCTTAAAATATTTACAAAAACATCTAAAAAAAACACTCGAAAAGTCATTGCAAAACATACGCAACATCAAGATAGCAACACTAAAATAAACACACTTGCAACATGCTTCCGAAAAACAGCTGAAACATTTAGAACACACGGTTGCAACATACGTGTATAACTATTGCAATATATGCAACATCCCGATCTACTTTTGCAACATCGATCTAAAACACTTGCAACACATCTTAAAACATCTGAAACACTTGAATCATACGGTTACAACATGCTCTTTCGGCGCAATGTCACCTGGCTGCTTGGACGAATAGAGGCCTCGTCGTTGCGGAGGTTGGCAGCGGCGCATGGAGCTCGCCGGTGCCCCAACGGAGACACTGCACCACCCTAGGTGAGCACGACTCCTCATATAACATTCTAAGGATTGACGATACGATTTTAGCAGCAGAGAGAAAGAATCGATATACATTTGCCACTTTTGCTTATGTGGCACACCAGCACCACAGTCCAGCTTGAATCCGAGTCAGTAGCCTCGGGTAAAATGACCACTCCAGCCCCTAGCTTCTCTATTATGCCCCCTCTCCCTCCCCATCACTGATACGCGGTCCCCACAAGTCGGATTCTCCTTTAACCTTCAACCATCACCACGTAGCCAGGAAGGGGATGAGCTCGGCCACACCGCCGTGCACCGTGCTGCCGTCCACGGCGACGCACAGTGCTCGCTGCGTGCTTGTCGTCTTCGCCGCGGCCGTAGACACGAAGAGCCCCGCGCCTTCACGGTGTGGTGTGCCTCGAAGTCGAGCCTCATCGGCGTCGTCCCCGCAGTACATGGTGCCGGCGCTCGGGGTCGACCACGAACCCGTCGAGGACACGGCGGGGGCCATAGAGATGTTGCGCTCTAACCGGATGCTCGACACCGCCAGTATTGCCAGTCGTGCGCCGCCGACCTATGCGGCCTTGACATCCTCGCGCACGGGCTCCAGGTCCTAGAACATCACACGTTTCCTGCTCCTCTCTAGGCCGCCGTCGCACATCGCGCTGCCTGAGGTTGCCGACGCCCAAGATCAGCATGGTGGTCGCGCACCGGGGCGGCTCCATGATCTCGGCGATCCGTACGTCGTGATTTGCTCTTGAGCCACATCATGTACGCTCGGCCATGTTGTGCGCTCGGCCATGGCCCAGGCTCGTCCTTCGACGAAGGCGCTGCAGTCCGGATCTGGCGCGTCGCCCTTCCCCGGCTCCGACGGGCGTGCTGATGCCAGTGGCCGCGAGGACGACCGGCTACGCCTGCTGCAGCAGCCACTCGATGGTCTTGCCGTCAGACTTATGGCTGAGCTCCAGCTCATCCTTCTAGAATGCCTTCGAGCATGTGGGCCCCAGGGCGGCCTCGCTACCCAGCGCCGCGAAGCTGGCGGATGTGACGATCTCGGCGAGGGGTACGTCGACGAGGGCGTCCCAGTCCCTAGGGCCTGCTGCGGCAGAGGCATAGCCGGGGTGCTCCGCCGTGGGCTGTAACACCCCTGGTGTTACGAGCTTATTTAGCACCGCGATTTAGGCCTAAGTCAAATTTTCGAAACGAGTCTCTCGGAATTTTTAATTTAAAATATACTTGATGTGATAAGTGAATCCGGTGACCTAGTTTTGTGGACTCGAATCAACGCTCAGTTGAAAAGCTTTGGTCTAGTGACATGTTTACGTTTACGTATAAACTCGTTTTAGTCCTTAGATAAAATGGTAACGTACCCGCGACAGCTGCCGTCCTGACCACTTGAATCACCCAAATTATTGCGTCGCGCCGTGCTGTCGAGCCGATTGTTTGCTCTTTCTTTTTCCCTGTCTGGTTCCGTGCCGTGCCATAGCGTGTGGAGCATGTGTCGTCCCTGCTACTGCCGTGTACTGCTTCGCTTGAAATTTCCCCAGGAGAGCACGTGGCCCTGCTCTGCCCACACCGTGTCCTTTTGTTTCCCTATGCACGCGCTGGCGCGCCGCTGCCGGCCACGCCACGCTGTCCTGCCCGGTCCCCACGTCCGTGCTCTAGCGCAGAGAGAGACAACTAGTGGTGCCGAGGATTCTTGGCGTCGCCTAAAGCCAGCTCTCGCGAGTGAGTAGTGTGGAGCTGCATGCGTGTGCTCAGAGTTAGGCCAGGAAAAGCTAGCGTCTCATCGTGTGTGCCTAATTCCTGTCCACTGTCTTGCATAGGTGATGTTTTCATCTTTTAGAGCACCAGCGGCCAGCGTACCTTTACAGCAGCTTGCAGCGGTGCAGCTCATTTTTTTACCTCACCGTCCTTGCCTCTGTCGTGCCCATGTCCTGCTGCTCCCTCTCCCGCACTTCTTCTTCTTGTGCACGCCGAGGTCAAGTTACGGCGTCGCTGCGCACCGAAGTCATCGCGCCGCGTCTTCTACCTGCCGCCGCGAGCCCCATGGACCCGCGCTGGTGCTGCGGCCCCGCAACACTGCCTCCCAAGCGCTTTCCTCGCCGCCTTGTCTGTCGGTGCCAAGAAGCCTGCCAGCGCGCGCGAGCTCCACTGCGATGCCCTTCCGCGCCTCCTCTGCAGTCCGCGCGCCGCGGCTATGCTGGCGTGCCGCCATCGCCTACTGCCGTGCGCGCTGCAAGCCGAGCTATGTGGTCCCGCGTGGCCCCACCTCACCTTGTACCCCATGGCTCTTTCCGCTACCACCGTCGCGCTCCGCCGTGGCCGCTTCCACCGCCGCCACCACGCGCGCAAGCGCGCCGGGTCCGCTCGATGTCGAGGAGACTGCTCTCGCCAGCAGCCGTGCCGTAGTCACCTCTGGTGTGCCATGGCCGCTCGTCGTCGCCTCCCCTGCCATGGCTACATGTGGCTGTTGTGCCAAGCTCTGCCTCGGTCTGCGCCGTGGCCAGGCCGGGCCTGGTCATGGCCCGCTCACCTCCTCACGTCGCTCTGTCTTCGCTGTCGCGCTCAGCAACGCCCACCGCAACAGCGTCGCCGCCGGCAAGCCGCCCCACCGGCCAGCGGTATGTTTCCCCACTGCACGCTCTACTTGGAGGATGATGAGAGGGACCGTGGGGTAAGGAATAAGTCTTTACAGGGTTCTCGATGCAAGATCAGTGACTCACGTAAACAGTTTTCATGTCCTGCGGGTTGATTTAAGTAAAGTACAAGGGCCTCTTAGCAAAATGATACCATCGCCGCTAGGCTACCTACGTGGGCTGACCGCTTCTGGTTTGCTGGGCTGTGGCCTTTGCGTTGGGCCATCCGCGCTTGTTACCTCACGCGCACCTGGTGGGCCGCCAACCGGGCGCACCGCTGGGCTGTCCGCGCCGCCTGTCCTGGGCCCGATGCCGCGCGCCTTGTTGGGCCGCTCGCGCCCGTGCGCTGGACCGGCCCAGCGGCCGCCGTGCCTGGGCTGCCTGGCCACTGGACCTAGCCGAGCTGGCCGCTGGTCCGGTTTGGTGGCCACTGGCCTTTACTCTTATGAAGCACTTGTTAATTTAGTTGCGGAAATAGACTTGTAAAATTTATAGTAAATCATAGAAAAATCGTAAAAATGCCAAACCAGTTTTGTTAAGTTTCTAAAATCATGATCTACCTAATGGTGTATTTTGTCGCATAGGTTTGGTATGTTTTTAGGGTTGCTCTAATTGATTTAGAGTGCTTAGTATTATGAAAAAGTGAACT